AAAAGTCGAATTTTTGGATGTATTTCTATTCCTTTAATTAATCTGTGGGCAATAAGATCAGCAAGTAATCCAATATGATTACAAGTATTAATTTCATCAAAGAATAACCAAACTTCGCCTTTATTCACGCATGCCTTGGCATTTATCATAAAATTGATTATGTCCTGTTCATGAATACCAGCGTGAAGATTTAAAGTCATAAATTCTGCTTCCACTATCTTGGCCAAAAAACCAATCAAACTAGTCTGAATTAATCAAGATAATTAATAGAAGATATGTTTATATATTTACTAATAAAAAACAGATTGTATTTAAATTTCAAAAAAAAAATTTGTATATATACCTTTCCACATCCGGCTTCTCCACAAATTACTACGGGTATATTAGCACGAGTTCTTAATAAAATCATTGCCATTTTTAACAAGTTATCAGTGAAAAACAATTCATTAATATAATAAGGGAGGAACAAGAAGATTATATCAATAGAATGATCCTCCCTCCAAATACTGCAAAAAATGAGGCACTCTTAGAAAACGTATTAGTCATGATTGTATGCATTTTAACTAAAATACCTGTATTTATTATCGGATCTCCAGGGTTAGTATTGAAATTTTGCTCGCAATTATTATTTTGATTATTTTTATCAATCAATAATAATAATGATAAAAATTTATTGGATTATAAAAGATCTTCGAAGTCTTTGGCTATTCGACTTGTTAGTCAAAGTTTGCGTGGATCAGACTCCAATGATCAATATTTCAGACGATTGCCACAGGTAAATAAATGCATTTATTATATATTCTTCAACGTAGATATCAAGTTAAATAGTTGCTGACTGATTTGTTTATATTTTACAGATATATATAATTCCGCATCAAGGATCATCATCTTCAACATCTGATGGCATTTTAAATGTTTTTGAAAAGGCACAAAATTTTCAGAATACAAGTTCTGAAGAGTTCCCTGTAATTAGTGTAGTGTTACTTGATGAAGGTATAATTTTTGTTATGATTTGTATTCACAGGTTAATTTATTTAACTAAATTATTTATGCTATCACAAATATCATAATCTTCTTTTATATAAGTTGGGTTGGCAGAGACTTCGAGTGAAAACCCATTGAAGGTTTTACATTCACTGCTTGAACCAAGTTATCCTGCAGAATCTCCAACGGTTTCTGTAATAGGTATTTCCAACTGGAGATTAGATAATAGTAAAAGTAGTAGGGCATTATTAGTTCAAAGGTATTTGTTTATGCATCCAAACATTTACTATTTTATGTTGTATGTTTTAAAATCTTTTTATAATAAATTAGGCCCAAGTTTGAACTTAAAGATTTGGTTGATATTTCAACCAGTTTATTGACTGACAAAATCCATAATGTTTCTCAAGAGGCGCTTCAACCACTTGCAGAAGCTTACTCTAAATATGAAAAGGATCAAGAACTTTCAAACTTTCATGGACTTCGTGATTATTATTCGCTAGTTAAAAGCCTTTCATTAAAGGAATTAACACCCGACAACATTCAAATGGCATTAGCTCGCAATTTTGGTGGTACAGAATATAATGATAACATATGTAAAAAGTACTTTAAAGGTATAATTGAAGCATTTAACTCTCACCACAAATGGAATTATAAGCCAATTCCTGTTTCTAAGCTGATAGATGCAAACATTAACGAAGACGGTGCAAGACATCTAATGCTAATAGGAAAAAGTGATTCACTAATAAATATAATCACATATAAACTCAGAGAAAAGAAATTAGACCCTGTTGTGATTCTAGGGTCTCATTTCCCTGAAGACAATCAAGATTATTCATACAGTATTTTAAATAAAATAATGGTATTTTTTAAAAGAGTGTTTATTTCCTCCTTTTCAAATAATGAACGTTTAATGAGAATTTTAATTTTAATCTTAGATGTGTGTAGAAGCAGGAAAACCTTTAATTCTAACTGATTTGGAGATAATTTATGGTATTAGATGCAAAAGTTTGAAATTAACTTTGCTGACAGTAAAAATACATTTTATTTTAATTTTCATGGGGTCTTTTTTTTAAAAATAGGGAGTCTTTATGACCTATGGAACCAAAATTATATTGTCGTTGGAAGTAAAGATGATCCAAAATATTATACTAGAGTTGCATTGGGTGCCTTTTCAAACCCCATGCTTGTTAGTAATAAATTTCTTTTGAAATTATCAATTTTATTATTTATTAATTTTACTAATTTTACTAATTTTACTATTATAATTACTATTATTTTAAAGCATGTTCACAAGGATTTTAGATGTATTCTTATTATGAGTCAAAAAAATTTAGAAGAAGCCGATCCTCCACTTCTTAACCGATTTGAAAAACAAAAAATAACTTTAATTGACATCTTAACTAATGAAAACTTACAATTAGTAAAAGTACTGAAAACTTGGGTGGAAAAAATTTCAAAAATAACTGATACAGTCTACTCAAATGATAAATTCACAGAATGTGATTTATTTATTGGTTACAATGAAGATGAGACGCTACAAAGTTTAGTCATAGATGTAAAGAAAAACAATCCAAATCTAAATGATGATGAAATTCTTGAATTATGTAAAGGATCGTTAATAGCAATTGCAACCTCTGATGGTATTATTCGAGCAGAAAAATCAGGTTTAAGCCAGAAAGAAGTTAATTATTGGAAGAATGTTTATTTGAAATTACAATTTCATGATAATATTGTTGACTACATAAAAAATTATTTATTAGACGCATCTAGTTCCGATGAACAAATTGGAGAATGTATTATAGTTAATACATTTTCAAATATTAATACAGATTTAAAATCTCACCTTCGAGAATTAGTTGACTGTTTTATTTTTAAACTTTCAGAATTCAAAACTGAATCATCCTATCAAAATAGGATAAAAGACTTTTGGTTTAATTCAGAGAGTAAAATACTTATACTACAATGTGATGTTGCAATAGTTGATGAAGGATGTATAAAACTTGCAAAATTTATTATTGAACAATATCAAGCTGAATACTTTTCAAACAAAGATCAAAATAAGATTAAACATGTCTTTATTATTCTTCATATTTATCGTGATTCTAACGCTTCAGTAACTACATTCAATTTCATGTGCGGGTGGAAGCAAGTTACAATAGAAAGCCTTGTTCCACAAGAAAAACCATTATCCATTCTTTTAGATGGAACTATGTGTGAGATTATTAATAATGTTTGTTCGTTTGAAGAAATTCTTAAACAAGAATTATTGTGGTGTTTACTATGTATGAAATACCCGTCAAATTCCAAATCAGTTGAACATATAAGGTGATTATTTTGACAAATTTTTTATTAAATTTTGACAAATTAATTATTAATGCATTTTTATTCAAAAATATATATATAAAAAAGATACCTTAACAGTAACATTCAACAACATCAATATTTTGTAAAATATTTAAAAGATCTTACAATGAAATGGCTAGAAGAAAATTCAACAACTAATTGGCAATATTCTGTAGCATCCAACAAAAAGTTGTTATATCCATATTCATCATTTTCAACTGCTTTACAGTATCATATACATTCAGTGGTACGTGAACCAATTGCAAAAATTTTATGCATGTTTGAGCGTTTAGCAGTAACCAAGACCTTTATTACACAATTTAATGAAGAAAATCAACAATTTCAAGAATTTATTGACGAGATGATTATGAATAAAGACGTTATAAAAATCAATGAGTTAGAAAAGCCAGAACCTGATCGTTATATAATTCCATCAGTTATTTATGATCTTAAATTTCCATTTTCTTATTATTATATGAAACAAATTGATAGTTATAAGAGTCATTATGAGCAAGAAATTAATATATATATGCAAGAGAAAGAGAATATTGATCCTGAAACTGGAATACTATATGAGCATTTACAGATTGATTTTGACAATAACTTTGCCAAAAAATTATTTGAAATTGTTTCGAATGGTCAGGAATCACCTTTAAAGAAGGCTTCAGATTTATATTTTCAAGATTTTATTAGTGTTATTTGTGCTAATGAAGCTAAAACAAAAGAAAGAAACCAAGATATATTAAAACTTGTTTTTAAACGTCTTGTTGAACAAGGAAAAATCTTTAATCCAGTCATATATCATATCATTTGGTGGAGACATTCAAAATCTATTCTTGCTGAATTTCACTTAGCTTCTAATTATAGTAATATAAACTCTAATTTAATTACACAAAGTCATGACCAACCATCTCCAAAATTTAGGCAGTTCATTGTTAAAGAAGTTGCGTATATGATGCTTAAAAATTTTTTAGAAATTAAAGATGTAAACAATAATATTTCAAATTGGCAAACTAAAGTTTTCAATATACTTTCTCTTAGTACACAGATATTAAATTCTTCTTCAGAACCTATGCTATTTATACTTCAAACTTGTCATGACCTACTTTCAACAGAATCAATTATTATTGATGAAATTAAACACATCATTAAGCGTATTTTTAACTCTGATAATGATAATAAAGACATTGATAGAAAAGGTCGGGACGATTTCCTTGAGAAAGCCATGGAAATTTTATATAATTTGGATTACGATGAAAAAACCTTAATAGCATGGCATTCAATTTTTAAAAAATGTCTCGAGATTTTGCCAATAGAGTCGCCTGTTCGAATAAATTTGTATAAAAAGCTATTTTCAGATGTACCTTTTCCATTGATGGGCACAATTATTAAACAAATATTTCAAAGCGAAGAAAATATTAAAAATAATATTTTTTTTGAATTAGTTAATGATCCAAGAAATATTTCTCCAAGATTAGATGTTATTGACAAATGCTTGAAATTCCAACAGCCACACTCAAGAATGTCTGCTTTATGCTCTGATATAATTCAAAAAACATTTTTTTCACAGTATGATTTACATGTTTTATCAATTAATTTTCGTCAAGCAATTGCGGTCTTGCATAGTAATGTTCGTAAAGATATTCAGCTAATATGTGCTATATCTTTACTTAAAGAATTTGTGCATAGGTTTTGGGACACTACTCTACAAGAAGATCCTATGAAACCAATTTATTTCGACTTAATGGAAACAAATAATTTTAACCCAACAACTTTGATAGAAGACATCAATGAATCCATGGGATTGTTACATCCATTGATTCATTCGTTGAAGGTTTATTTCTTACGGAACCTTCGTTTTCGAGAGTTTTCTATGAGTGACATAAAAAAATTTTGTGAGATGCAATACACTTTACCATGGCTTGGTAGTATAACATGGGATAATCAGCAGCAAACCGGATTATCATTTAATCCATTTTGGCCTATTAATGATTATGTAAAATTAGAGAGATATTATTCAACACTGTATAGCTTTAATATGAAATCACCTATTAAAGAATTCTTTGATAATTTAAAACATCATAAAAATGTTTCATCTCGTATAGCTTTGATAGGGATTATTTTTGTTCACTTACATTCGATCAAAGCTGTAAGAGAAAGAACAGATTCTGAAGATCAAATAGTTGAATATTTCCTCGAAAGAATAGGTGAAATGAGTGATAATAACAATTTAAATCTTTATAAAACAACTGTTCGTAAATTGTTGAATGATGAGTTTTCTTTTCTTCGAATCTCAAATCAAACAAATAACAAAGAATTATTGATTAAATCAATGATTTTACATACAATAGCCATACATTCATCAACCTCACAATCTTTTTCGCCTCTTTCATACTATTTACAAAGATTAGAGAATTGCAAAAATGATTTTATCATGACTTGTCCATCAGATATCCAATCAGTCATTATTAATGCGGTGGTTAATACAGGCCAAGCCACTAGGTAAATTGATTTTGATATATTTATATTTCATCTATATTATATTTATATATCTGATTCTATGAATTTGTATAATTTTTTAGATATGAATGTGAATGTGGATTTTCTTACTTGATAGGCGATTGTGGAAGAGCTTACGAAGAAAGTAATTGTCCCCAGTGTAATAATAAAATTGGTGGTTTAGATCATGTATCTGCTCCTGGCAACATAAAAATAGATTCAAATCCTATAACAAGAAGTTTAGAAATCAATAATGAAACTGGATATATAATGGAACCACCAAATAATGATACGGATCACAATGTCAGATTTTTACCACCAAATTCGTATCGCATCTTGCATTTATTTGTTCACATAATAATTGGGGCATTAATTCCTTCATCAGTGGCATCTGACTTTTTATCGAATAATAATAATAATAGTGGAATATTAAATAATACTGAAAGATACTTTATGGATCATATTTTTAACGATTGGGATATTCTTAAAAAACGTCTTGATTGCTCTAATAAAGATTTAGCACTATTTTTACACTCGATACTTCATAAAATGACCACTGATCCATTAAAGTCAACAAAAATTAGAAATGCGAGTGAAAGAGAACAATTGGAAAAAGAATTTCACCTAAAATATTTTGAGCCACAATTTACAAATTTTTATGATACTATAAATAATTTTCGTACTAAATTAAATCAAATTGAAGCTGATTCTAAAGGAATAACATCAAATTTGGTTGAAAGTGAAATAGATGAAACTGTAAAAACAGATGAGACGGATGAGCACTATGAAAAATATTCTAAAGATTATTTACCAAAATTATGGAGGGTAACTGGTGATACTAGTTATGATAATTTAAAGGCTTTTTTTAATAACAGTAATTCAATGAATCAATCACAATATTTATTTTTATCAATTTATTTTAATCATGATGATAAGTTAAAATATATTAAACATCTTGAACCAATTTTAAAATTTGTCAAGATATTAGCAGATCGTCTTGAATATCGTTTGTTAAGAGAGGAAGCTCAAAAAATGACATTCAAAGAATTTATTGATAAAGAAACTAATCATCAAAAATCTGGAGAAAACTATGAATATTTAATGACAAGTTTTAAAGAATTTTCAAAAGCATGGAATTTTATTATCGACAAAGTAAATCAATTTCAATGCCATGAACTTCCAAGCTCAAGACCAAAAATAGATCTTAGTTGTCCAATAATATTTGGATTGGTCGAATCTGAAGATACAGGAATATATATTTGTGCTATCATTGATTATTTGATTGGATTACAAAACAATTTTCTAAAAGAAGTAAATGGAATTCCTATTAAAAACTGTTCATCTCTAAAAATTTTAAAGTTAGGTCCATTAAAACACATGGAATCGATGAAACTTGAAAATATGAAAAGCAACAATTATATTAATTTTGATTGGGATGATGAATTACTTCAATATAGTCAAATAAATTTGAAAGAAGGTCATGGAAAGGATATTATATATGACCTTTTAAAGATCGAAGGTGAACTTGTTAATAAATTAGTAAAGGATAAAGTTATAATAGAAACTTTAAAAGATTCACAATTATACATGGAACAATTTCATTATCATATGGAATTGTTTCAAAAATCTATGAGAATTCTTGAAGATGTTAAAAATCTGATAAAACAAAGTCCGATTCCTAATTCGAAATTTCAACGATATGATATTAATTCATTAACATTTGATAGTGCGTCTGAGATTCTTTCATCCTTAGAAATATTATTGTGTTTTATTAAAAGAACTGCGACCAAAGATGGTAATATGTTAATTAAGGAATTTGTCGAAAATTGGATGAAACTTTCAAGTTTATTAGAAAACAAAACTTTTTCAAAATTATTGAAAAGTGAATTGCGTTTAAGACATGTAATAGCACTGTATGAGTTGATTGAAGAACAAGTATCAATTAAAATGGTTCAATATATTGATAATAAATATAAAGTTCCTATTGATGAAGAGACTAAAGAAATCATTATTAAATTTGTTAAATTTGATCAGTTCAGCATCCAAGAAAAAAAATTACCAGCAGAAGATTTCATTATAGCATTAAGGAGATTTATGTATAGAACCCTATTAGGTGAATTAAATAATGAAAATGAAAATTTAGTGTATTATTTCACAGAAATATCATTAAATTTATGGCCAAATCATATTAAAGAAGAATTGATTTCAGAATTATTTCCTGATGAATTTTTGATGTGTAATATTTATTGTATATATGAATATATTGTAAATGAATTCGAGGTAAGATTGTAATTATTGTTGTTGTTTATCATTTGATATTTATTTAAATATTGTCGTTTATTTAAATTATTGTAGATGTATAATAAGAAACAGCAATACAAGGTATCATTGTCTTCACAAAATCACCATAGCCGCAGTAATCATATGTCTTCATATAAACGAGAATTAGTGGATTGTGAAGAAGATAAAAGTTATGGAGAACCTGGGCCATCATCACAACCAACAAGACCATATAATCATAATAATTATAATAGTAATAATAATCACAATAATAATCCTAATTATGATAATAATATTAACAACAATAATAGGAAAAACAACAACAATAAAAATAGAAGGAATAGAAAGAAAAATGATTTTGATAAAATGTAAACTTGTTAGAATCAACTAATTGAATTCAATAATAAAAATTTGTGTGGTAACCTGATTGATATTTAATATTTATTAGTTAATAAATACTAAATAGGTTAAAATGTTACACCAACGGGACCCAATGGACCAGGACCCCAGGTCGTAACACTAAAAACTTTTTTTTTTACCAAAAATTTTAGGATGCTATTTCACAATAATTTTTGATATTTTTTTTGTATACTTGTATAATAAATCCCAAATTCCAAAGAAATTAAAAGAAAAAAACAAATTTTTTTATATTGGGAAGGTGGAGTTCCTTTTTATTGTTTTTTAAATAATCAAATTTTATTATGTAGATTCTCTAATTCTTATCAGATATACCACTTAAGGGTATTCAAATTATTTCATTGCAGTTGAACATGAAATAGTTTATAATAATAATATATATTATCTTTTTTTTTTGAAAAATAACATCCAAAAATCTCTCGAGTTTTATGTAAAATCAACAAAGATATTCTATTTATTTTATGCTGAAACAGCTCGTTCAAATTGGCTGATTGGTATAAATGCAATTTGATTATGAACTCTCCAAGTGAAAAAAAAGATTTTATAAATAAATATAGAGTACATATAGTATGTAGAATTCTTTTTTATTGTTCAGTTCTGTCTTCATTTGATCGTTTTACACAATAAATTTTATCATCATTAATTGCTAGGCTATAATTACAATCTTTAAAAAGAACTTTTATTTTTTAAAAAAAATAAAATTAATTTTCTTTTTTTGAATATGTTGTTAATTTAATTCAATATATATATACCTGTTATATTATTAATATTTTCAATTGAATCATTGTTTTCTCCCTGTTTATTTATTCGATCATCTTTTTTCATTAATTTTAAATTTTCTTGTTTATCTAATAATAAATTTATATTTTGTAACAAATTATGAGCAGCAATAGCCTGGTTTTGAGTTATGTTTTGAGTTGCCTATAATGTAAGTTAAGGGGGTTTTTTTAATATGACTTTTTAAAATTCAAAACAACATATTTACTTACGTCTATTAGTGAACCATCTTCAAGTTTTGCTGTGAAAGATGCATTTTGATCAGTTAATTGTGAGAGTGAATGATTGCTCTCATTGTTGTTTTGGTTTTGCGTCTAATATAAAAAAAGGGTTGAATATTATTAAAAACATTGGTAACAGAAATGAGACGGGAAATAATTTACCATTTTTTTGTTTTTTTTAATCTGCTTGCGAATGAAGTCACAGGATGCAAGCCGGGAATCTCTCCATTTCATTATTTTTGGGTAATGGTGTTACTTGATCATCTAGAACTTGTATAGTGCGAGACACTTAGTCCCACAACTTTTTATTGGCCTTGTAGATCCTTCTCTAACACCAAAAAAATAAGCCGTAATTTTGAAGCTAAGACAAGTTACGATTTCATTTTGTTGATACGATGCAGATCATCTATAATCATTAATTGCTTTACTAATGAATTTTATTTAGGTAACATCCCTGACTTAATAGTAAAGAGGAGGACAGCTAGAAGGGCACCAATCAAGAAATTGTTATCAGGATAAAGGGAAACATGCCTGTCTTAGACAGAAGGAGGTCTTGTGCTAAGAATGTTATCAGGAAATAGTGTGAAATCTAAAGAAGATATTGTTTAGTATTGCTTAGCAAGGAATTGTTTAACAATAGTGAAAGATAGTTTCAAAAGTAAGTATAAATGTATATTCACAAAAATTGTTGTTATAATTTAGTATAAATGAATTGGAAGAATTGTTTTATTGTATTGACACAGGGATAAAATTAATAAATGAATAATCACTTTTGAACTTAGATCTGACAATATAATAAAAAGAAAAATTTTTTTTTGTTATTTATTATTTATAAATTCGTGTTGCATTATTTAATCCAATTAGTAAAATTCCGTTTTCTTGGTTTTATATGGTTTGCTATTTTCCTTTAAATATCTCGAAACTTTACTAATCAAAGCGGGTATATTTATTAAGCTAAAATTAACCCTTGTAAAAAATTACATATAAGTATGTTATTAACTCAAAATTGAGATTTTGGCAGTTAGGGCTGTTTCTATTTTCCGCACCCCACATATTCTTCAAAACAACGTTACTATATATTGTTACCGGAATTAAATTTTGACGCAGATCTTTTGGTCGAATCTCTTAATTCCGGGACAATTTAAATTTTATTTCTATTTTTATTTTATTTTAATCTACAGTCAAACCTCGTCACAGCGAACCTCGTCACAGCGAATTTCTTGTTACAACGAATTTAAATATTGGCCCCTTTTTTTATTAATTAAAAATATTTGTCATAATGAATTATAGTGCAAGTCACTTAGTCGCTGAACTTTTTGTGCTACACCGCCATTTTTTGAGAAAAAAATTTCCAATCAAAAATGCAATAAAATTTGTATGATCACGTGTTTTTGAAGATTGTCAAATGCAGAATTTTATCCAAATCATATAAACATGTGTATATCGATGATACATCAGTGAATATGGGTATAGGATGGGTCAGAAAGCTCAATAATGAAATTACTCATTCTTTTAATGCATGAATGGGAAACTGGCCATCATCAAATAAAGCAGAAACCATATCAATATTAACAACATTACTTGTAGTTCCTTCAAATAGCAATGTAATCATTTATACAGATAGCAAAACATCAATTGAGTACTTAGAATTCTTCAATAATCCATGTATTTATGTGCCAATAACACATAAATACAAAATTAAAAATTTTACTATTTGGCTCATAATAGAAGAGTTGATTAAAAAAAAGAATATTAATTTGAAGTGTAGGAAAGTTAAAGCACATTCAAACAATATTTTTAATAATGCAGCTGACTTATCTGCTAAACAAGGGCTTGTAAGCCAAACAATAAAATTCGACTTCACTAAAACAAAGACACTTAAAGCTACTCTATATTTTAATGATATTTTAATTGAACAACCAATACGTTCCTTCATCAAATCAATTAATCAAGCTGAAGCTTTTAATAGGTGGTTGCTATTACACAGGCTTGCAAAATATGCAAAGTTAATAAAGGACATTGATTGGGACAGAACATGGAAAAGTTTTGCCTTTTCATCTTACAACAGACAACCAGAGACATCATTCTCAGAAAGCAAAATTAAAGCGTTTAAAATTAAAACTATGAATAATAATTTACCTGTACTAGAAAACTTGAAGATAAGACGACCTGATTTATATGGAAATGAATGGACATGCATTTCCTGTAAACAAGAAAATGAGACACAACAGCACTTATGGTTATGTAGCAATAGTCAAAAAATAATCAAAGAAATAATTAAAAAATGTAAAAGATACATAACAGAAAAAATCAAATCATCGAAACAGTATAACAGCAAAGATCATAATATAAATAATATACTGTCAGACATGTGTTGGGATCCATATTATGATGAACAAAAAATTACCTTCTTAGATTTAATTAATGGAATAATTCCAAAAGCATTAACAAATGACATTTATAAAATTATACAGTGTAACAAATCCACAACCAACATCACTAATATAATAATTGAAACAATTATCACAAACATATATAAAGATATTTGGAAACCTGGGTGTGAGTTGGTGATTCAAAAAGACATTAAGGGAAACATCACCAAACAGATGAAGAGAATAATATAGTAAAGAGAAAAAAAAAGAAAGAAAAATTAAAAAAAGAGAAAAGATCTCAATCACAATAACTCCAATAATGAAACATCTTCCTCAACTTTGAGTTGGATAAGTTGGGTAGATTCTTGGATTAAAAAAGGAAGTCAATGGGAAATATACGTATCTTGACAAGATGTTTTACATAGTCAAAGAAATGGGGTGCAGTTGCTTAATTCTCTAATTAAAAAAGGAGGCCTCATGAGATTTTGTATGACATCAAGTCGCTCCAAACAAAAACCATTCTATGGTAAAACAGGGGAAAAAAAAAAAAAAAAAAAAAAAAGTTGTGCATTGTAGAAGTCACAAATTTGTGACTTATGATATTATTAATAAATAAGACTTTTGGCATGTGAATACAGTTTATGGGATATGTATTACATATTTCTAATCAATTTTAAATTAATAAATGTCACAACAAAAAAAAAAATTTTTTTCCAAATTAAAAAATTAATTAAAAATGCCACCAAAAAGAAAACATAACCAAAGAAATAAAGAAAATACATCTGGAGCAGTTGTTAGGTAGGCGTTTATCTGTGGTGGTGGTTATTGCCACTCGTCGTCACTCTAGTTGCTTTATTAAATATTTATAAACTTGATTTTTTTTTTATTAGAACCGATGATGAAGTTAGTGATGATGAATTTGGTGATGATGTATGGATCCAGAAGTTTGACGAGGTGTCATCTTCTGAGAAAGCTACTTTAATTTTCTAACTGATTAACTGATGCCCATCAGAAACAATAAATTTAATAAAAGAAGTTTTGATTGGAGAGGAGGAGGATGAGGCAGTTGAGGAGATGATGGTGATGATGATGATGAGGAGGATGATGAGGATGAAGTGCTAGAGGTGGTAATGGTAGAAGATAGTGATGGTGGTGAGGAGGGTGAGGAGGATGAGGGTGAGAGTGAGGATGATGAAGATGGTGATGAGGAAAATGATGGTATTATTGATATAGGGGAGAGGTGGAGGGGGTTTAGATCACCCTGGGGAATTAGGGAAGAGGAGATTGTGATGGAACATTTAATTAGAAAGAGGATAAATTGTAAAAGGTTGAGGGAGAATGAGGGGCTTATGAGGACAAACCAGGCGATGTGGTTGAAGGCAAGGGAGTTGAGGAGGAAGTTTAGGAGGGTTTTGTTTCCAAATACTTATTATTATTATATTTATATATATTAAAATATCTGTATTCATGTTACATTCCGTATATTTATTAAATTATTCTGATATTTAGTATTATTTATTTGGATAATTCGCCCAGACTGGGATATTAATTAATTAAACATGTATATAAGGAACAAGAATTTGCTGTACTTTAAAAGTGACTTTGTAATAGTGTGTTTTCGTGTAATTGATACACTTTGTGTTCTCGGAAAATTTTGCTGTAGCATACCATTTTGATTTAATAAAATCTATTTGGATCTACTAAAACAAATAAATAAAGAAACTTTAAAGTGATTGATTTTGGACTGAGATTGGTGTATCAAAAAAATTTGCAACATTAAAAATCATTAAATTTTATACATTTAAATAATATTGCTTTGAATAAATTCTTAAAAAAAACGATGCTGTTTAAATTGACTACGACTTGCGTGATAGATTCAATAAAGGAACAAACTTATTCATTTCACAATAAAAGCTATTTGTTTGTTGTTTTTTGATTTTAGTATTAATGCATGGTTTCTATTCATAACACAGTCAGAGCTCGTTAAACCAAAGTCAATATTTTCAAAAAAAAAAAACTTCAATTTAAAAAACCTTAATAAAATTGGCTTATTGAGGTAAATTTGATAGGTAGATAATAAAACAACATCGGTTTGTCATGTATATTTGGTTTATCAAAGCATTATCTTAACGAGTTCTGACTGTACGTTTTATTCGATTTATTCGATTTACTCGATTAATTCGTTTTGTTTTTACTCAAATTGTTTGTTTTATTCAAGTAAACCTTATTTGAATAGAAACCTAACTACTACTCAAGATTATGATATATAATAAGTCCACTATAAAGAGATTTATAGTGGAAATTCGTTATAGTGGACAAAAATGCCTGGAACCAAATTTCCACTATAACAAGCTTTGACTGTAGATATAATTATTGTTATTTCTAAAAACAATAAAACAATTTTTTTTTTATTTTAGAA